GGCTGGATCCCAGTCAAGGCAGCTGTCTGATGGTCACCTCTGACTGGTCACAGGAAGTGCCAGATGAGACTCTGCCTGGCTTATTCTGGCAAGTTCCAGGGAAAGGAACATCTCCAAGCATTTGTCCTCTTAAGTTGGGGGACAGATGAGGCAATTGTGGTGTGTGAGGCGTGGGCTCCGACTCCACCCCTCTGGCCCACCCTTCCCCTAGGACCCTGTGAGTTGAGGAGGATCAAGTGGGCTCCTCTGGCTGGGCAGACCCCCAGGAAGGGTCTGAGAGGAAGCATTTCTGACTTTGCAGGCCACGTGGTCTTTGGCCGCTCCTCAGCCCTGCTGTTGTAGCCAAAAGAATCATGACAACGTGTAAGCAATTGAGTGTGGCAGTTTCCAATAAAACTTTATTTACAAAGGAGGTTTTGTACCGAATTTGGCCCGCAAGTTGAATTCTGCCAACTCCCGATGTGTGTCCAAGTAGTTAACAGCACAAGATAAAACCTATGTGTCCACTGGTGACTATGCATTTTTACATTTTGTTTAGAAACCCTCTCAATGCCTAGTTCTAGTTTATTTGTGCATCAACTCATTGAGACCTAAACGTTTTCTTCGACTCTTTATCACCTAAGAAATCATTATTATTGTTCTTTCTCCAGATTGTAGTGCCATTTACTCATGTTTATTCATATTGGCTGAGGGAAAGGGTTTTTCTTTTTTTTAGTTTGGCTGATGTGGTTGATTCAGCCAGCCCACCCCTGAGGACAGGGCCTGAGCTCTGCTTTGTGTGGAGTGACCCAGGATGAGTGGCAGAAAGGACTAAATTACTACTGTAGCCATTTTGTTTGCACAACTCATTGGTAACTTCTGCATATTTAAAAAATTTTAAAAAGAGCAAATTACAAGTATTTAGGGAAGTGTCTCCATTGCACCTAGGATATGTCAACTTTCATTTCTGAAGATTTGGCTTGACACAGTTGTGGGTTTTTTTCAGATTTTCTACAAATACTGCATCAGCCTATGAGTGTAGGGTATGGCATAAGAGTCCTGTCTCAGTCTCCTTCATTATGTGTCCTGTTAGTGAACCAAGCAAGGTGCTGGCAGCAGGGGCTGATTTCACATCAGTGAATCATAAATGTTTTCTCATTAAAACTGGATATTGTGTCCACGAACACCTGCCCTGTGAGAGGTGGTTTTGGTTTTGGTGTACGAGCAGTGTGAAGCTCTGTTTTAGCTGACCATGTCTGTGTTTTCTTTACAAGGGTGTTGTATGTATAAGCCAACTCACTCACTCATAGAACAGTTATTGATGGATTAACCACTCTGTGCCAGGAACTCTCCTAAGCTCTTGGTGGTCAGTGGCTAACAAAGCAGAACAGACCCCTCCCTTAGTGCAGCTTACGTTCCAGCAGGGCAGACATGAAGCAGAATAAAATGGTAATATAGGTATTGTGCTGGCAGAAGCAAGTGTTCAGCGTAAAAGCTAACGTGGTAAAGCAGGATGGAGAGGGTGGGGGGGAGCAGGAGGTTCTGAACCGTGTGGGGTGGTTTCAGGAGGGGGACACCTGCAAAGGCAGGTTTGTAGCAGGGTCTGGAGCAGTGAGGGTGTGGCCGGGTTGGGAAGAGCATCCTTGATAGAAGCAAGAAATGGCGACAGGACCCATTGTGATTGCTTTTTTTTTTTTTGATGGAACTTTATTGTATTTATTTGTACATGGTGCTGAGAATCGAACCCAGTCCCTCACACATGCTAGGCAAGTGCTCTACCACTGAGCCCCAGCCCCAGCCCTGTAATTGATTTTTTTTAAAAACATATATCCTGTACTATAATTCTGGACAGAATTTTCCAAGGGGCTGAACAACCCATGCCTCCTGCTGTGATTGAGGGGCAGCCAGTTGATTTTGTGGAGGTAGTTGGGGGACATGTTCACGGAAGGCCCAGGAAGGGGAACCAGTGGGAAGTTACCAAGGAGTGCATGTCTGCGGACAGACGCTGCTGACCAGGCTGCCTGGTTTGCAGTTCTGAGCCGAGGTGGCCGCCAGTGCGCCTCGGCCCTTCCTGCTGGTGACAGGAAGTGGAAGGTGGCCCCACCTGTACCTGAAACCTGGCTGGGGGCCCACTGTGTGCCCCTGGTGAGACGCTATTAGTGGTTTCAGTCACACTGCCCAAGAGATAAGAAATTTCAGGAATTCTGCCCCACGGCCCTGAAACAGAATCCCAGACAATGGGCCTTTCTTGGAACCCTGGGCCTTGGCGTAGGAGGGCTCTCCTTGCTTTCTGCCAGCTCAGGGCCCTTGCACATATCCCTCCCATTCAGACCTGGCGGCCTCCAGGTGCACTGGTTTTTATGACTGGTATGGTAGCTGTTGGACAGCACAGGGCAGGTAAATGCACGTCTTTCTCACGGTGGCTTCTGGCCTGGCAGAAGCCTGGCAGGGTTCACTGACGTCCACTAGAGTGAATTTGAAAACTTGCCACAAACACTTTGAACCCAGGCTGTGTCTGCGTGGGAGGTCCTATGGTGGGCGGCTGAGTCTCGGGCTCTGTTGTAGGCCCCTCACATGTCACTTGTCCTCTCTCCAGCACAACCCAAGCTGCTGGTGTGGGTGCCTGCCCACAGACCCATAGGTGGGGAACCAGAGACAGGAAATCAAAACAGGAGGCACCTGGGAGAAATCCCCTGCAGAGAGAGCAAGCTCTTCCAAGGAACTGATGACAGCTGTCAGCTGGGCTCTGCTGGAAGGATGAGGGCAGCCAGTTCTGGGGTCACACTGGGCCTTTCTGCCCCCCCCCCCCCACCTGTGTGACTGTATACCGTGTATTCAACCTCTCTGTGCCTCTTTCTTATCTATATCGTGGAGACAACAGTGTCTACCTGTCAATTGTGTAGTGGGTTATATAATGAGAGATCTTTGGCCTTACCTGGCAGAGAGTGTTCTCAGCATAGACTGACACTGGAGAAAATGGCTCTTATGATCAGACATGAAGAATATCATGCCTTCTGTCTTGCCCCAGTTTTGTTCGGATAGTTCATTCCAAAACCTTATATGCTTGTTTTTTCATTGTCTTTCTAAGGACTGTTTTCCTTCTAAGAGCACCTGGTTGCTCTTTTAATTGAAGAACTTATTTTACTTTTCAAGGTGGAACCTGAGTGAAACCCTCCCTCCCCACGTGTACCGCTCTCTCTGTTCAGTGGATTTGCTCAGTCACTCCAATTTCTCTGACTCTCCTTTGGTCATGAAGACTGCCTCTTGGGGCTTTTGTGAATGAGATCATGCTGGTGGCAGGAGAGCATGCAGGGGACACTCAGTATTTGTTGGTGACTCTTCTTAATCTGATGTCCCCAGGGGGTAGGAGGGCAAGAGCCAGGGCAGTGTCAGGGCCCGTGTGTCCTCTTCTGTGGACATTCAGCTCTTACTCTGAATCAGTCTCCGCAGAGCAGGTTCAGGAGCTGAAGGCGAATGTCTTCTGCCATTTACCTCCTCTTCTCCCTGATGCACCCCTCTGTTCTGGGCCCTGCACCCCAGACTGGCTGTCCAGAGCAAGAGTCGGGTGAACACAGGTGTCACGGTGCACCATGCCTCCTGAGTGCTGTGCGGATTGCATGCAGGACGGGAGGGTCGTTTCTCCCCCTTGGGGGGTTGGAGGGTCTCACCAAGGAGACCTTTGGTCTGGCTGAAAAGCCAGCCCGGCTCTAGAGAATGAGGTATGGGGTGCATCTTAGGTCGGTGTGCAAATGTAGAGGACTGTGGCTGCCCAGTTAGGGGTGTGGACACTGGCCTGGGTTACATGGAACCGCAAAGGGGCTTTTTTTTTTCTTTTTTTTTTTAGTGCCGGGTTATTAGAATCTGGTTTATACACAGTGAAGTGGCCCCCTGAGTGTGTGCAGTTTGATGAGTTTTGGCAGATTAATAGAGTCCTGTGACCGTCACCATCAAGGTGCAGAATTTTCCTCACCCCCACGAGCTTCCCGAGTGCCCCTTTGCAGTCAGACCTCCTCCAGAGCCTCCGGCAGCACTGACCCAGGTTTGCCTCTCCAGAACCTCCTGTGGGGTTAGAGTAGGGGCCTTCATGTCTGGCTGTCAGTTCACAGAATGGTTTTGAGGTCCATCCTGTTGCATGTGCTGGTAGTTTGTTCCTGGGATTTTAAGAGGTAAACAGTGATGCCTGGGGGACCTGCTGCCGGTGGTGTGTGTACAGAGGAGGAGGGCGTGGCCGCTGGTTCCGTGGGAGCCTCCTGGAAACCCGGGGACACCTGCTCGAGGTTCTGGGCATAGGAGAATCAGCCAGGGGCAGAGGATGGGAGGGCGCCAGGAAGGTGAAGGGCTGGCCGCTTGGCAGGACTGAATGCACTCTGCGAGCTGCAGAGCAGGAGAGGCCCACAGGAGAGGCCCCAGACCTGGTGTGAGTTCCCTGCCCACAAGTTCACTGCAGGAGGCGGGGCTGAGGACACTGGCACCTGGGGCCTCTCTGAAGCTTTTGCTTTTTGCAGTATTTCAAGCTTCAGTAAAGCAATTAATGACATCTTATAAATAATGTTCAGGAGCTAAAGGATGATGGCGAGCATTCTGTAAATTCAGGAGACTAAAATCTTATGGTCGTGAGTTACGGTAATATACCGTCCAGTCATGAGAATGTCTGCTTGGGCCACGAGGCATTTCTGGGAAGAAAACAGTGTATTTTTTTTTTCATATCAGACAAATTGTTACAGATCAGAAGTCTCAGCAAATGTTTCTTGCCATGGAAACCCTTTCCTTTCCCAAAAAGAAAAATAGCAACTACTAAGCTATGTTGCACCTGTAGATTTTCTTAAAAATGTGTAACTTGAGGCACAAATGACCCAGTCAGGGTTATAATAGACCTGCCTGCTTTAAGTTAGGAAAAATGATGAAATACAAATTCATTCTCACCTGTGCCCCAAACTCCAGTGAGATCGTGTTTTAAGTGCCGTTGAAAACTCATGACCAGAGAGTGGGGCGATGAGCGTGTCCTCCTTGGCTCTCCTCAGTCTTGCTGCTGGAGAAGATCGAGCAGGACGACGTCTACAACAAGACGCTGAAGATCACGGACTTCGGGTTGGCCCGCGAGTGGCACAGGACCACCAGGATGAGTGCGGCCGGCACCTACGCCTGGATGGCCCCTGAGGTCATCAGGTCCTCCCTGTTCTCCAAGGGCAGTGATGTCTGGAGGTGAGCGGTGGCTGTGCTGAGTCCCGTGGGGCTGGGTGGCCCCGAGCTGAGCAGCCAGGTGCACCTGCAGGGGGTTTAGATTTCTAGTCAAGAGCCACAGGACGGGGACTCGAGGGTTCTGTAGTCGAGACCCCGTGTACTGGGCGAAGCTTCCCGTGAAGTCAGGAGCTGATTGGAGCTCACAGCCTGAGTGAAGGGCAGGGCCAGGGAATGAAAGGAAATCCCCCCTCAAGCAAACTTGACTTCTGTGATTCATAGACAACTAGCTTGGAAGGAGCTGGAGGAAAAGGAAATTTAGACGGTCCCTCCATGTCCTCAATGTTTCTTCGAAAGTTGAGGGCCTTGGGGTGAGGACGGAGAGTGAACCCAGCTGGGACACCAGGTGCTGCTGCTGTCACTCAGCTGTACCTCCTTAGAGTGACATCACCAACAGCAGGAGGGCAGAGAGAAGCCAGGCCTCCCAACAGCTCCAGTGTCCTCAGAGCTAGCTAGCCTTGGCTGTCGCTCATCAAGACCTGAGTGGCACATGTGAAACTCACAGATTTTTCTCTGTGGTCTTTGAGCAGCCTTGCTGACAGGCAATTTCCATATCGTGCAATTCGCCCCTGAATGGCACACTACAGTGGGTTTCAGTAAAGCCCATCAGCACAGTCAACGTGGAGCATTTTTGTTACCCTATAAAGCAGCTCCATATCCCCTCACCCTTCAGTCCCAGGGCCCCTTCCCTCCTGGCCCCGGGCACCAGTCTGCATGCCAGGTCTGTGGACTCGCCTATTCTGAACATTTCGACTGAATGGAACCTTCCAGTATTTGTCCCTTTGTGTTGGCTTCTTCCACTGCGTCACGAGCTTCATTCTCTTCAGGGCCAAGTGATAGTCCCTTCTGCAAATGGGCCCCATTTTGCTCGCCCATTCAACTGGTGGTGAGTGTTTGCTCTGCGTCCACTCCTGGTTATTATGGATAACGCTGCTGCAAACACCCACGTGCAGGTTTCCCTGAAGACGCGAGTTTGGTTCTCCGGCATGTACCCAGGAGTGCCATGGCTGGGCCACGTGGCAATTCTATGCTTAATTGTTGAGAAGCCACTCCTGGTTTCCAAAAGTGCTGCTCCTTTCAGAGCTCACCACAGGTTCCTTGCCAACGTGGGTCGTTATCTGATTTTCTGACTCATGAGTGTCCCAGGTGTGAAGTGTGTTTCATTGTGGTTAAAACTCAAATTTTTATTTATTTTTTAACACAAAAGAAAACTAATGGCAGGAGAGACAATGTCACTTGCTAGTGTCCATTTCCACGAAGTGATAAACCTCTGTTTAAACCCAGATGTGTCTGACTTCCAAATTTCTGATCAGCAAAAATTGTTTTTTCCTTTAATCTTAAGATGCACTGGAAGTTACTCAGACCCACACGTGAAGTCAGTGGCAGAAACACCTGTCAGTAAAAGTTTTATAAAGTTGCTTTATATTTACAACATTTACAATACGATTTAGTTATTTTACTTACAACGTGTAAGAAGCTTATTTTTGGGTGGGGAATTCTGTGGTGTCTTAGCACCAGTTTAAAAAAATTCAAAGGCTTACACGTCCCTGCTTACTGAGTTAGACTGTCCCCTGGTAGAGGCTGAGCATGGGCTTTTATAGGGAAATAAGGGTTTTCATTGATGTCATCACAGTGGTTTTCTAGCATGTGAGATGAGTGAAATTGGCCATCCTTGTAAGAAATCATACTTCAGGACTCTAAGAATTATTAAACTACGTCATCCATCAGGTTCACATTCAAAATGATAGGTCTGAAGGCGGGAGCCATATCATCCCGTGCCTCTGTCACAGGCCTGTGGTCAGCAGGGGGCGTGAGCTCCACATGCTTCCAGTGGCCCTGTCTGTCTAGAAGGAAGCAGGAAGCAGGCTGGGGGCTTGCAACAGCCAGGAAGCAGGGCTCTCCCCAGTTGGCTTGCTTGTCATTGATGCTCCCGCTGCTTGGTAGACGGTGGGAGAGCCTCGCCAGGCTAGTGGTACTGAAACAGGCCAAAAGCAAGGTGGGCAGCAGGCAGGAACCACAGGAAATAAGAAAGCAGAGGACCGAGACCCTCCAGGCTGCTGGGTGCAGAGCCGCGCGGGGGGGGGGGGGGGGGGGGCACAAGTGAGGCTGGGAGTGCCGGGTTTCTTTTCGTGACTAAAAGGCTCAGGGGTCACTCCAGTTAAATTGGGCTAATTGGGCTGCACAAAATAACCACACAAGAGACACAATAACTTTTTCTTTGGGGTCGCTGTGACAGCTCCTCTGATCTTAAGGGTCCGCAGGAAGAGAGAGAACGAGAGCACACGTTGACACCTTTTATTGAGGAGAAGATATTCAAATGAGGCAAGTGGCCAGGTTTCAGGGGGCTGAGTCTGTCTTCATGATGTCCACTGTCAGCAGGTTGACTGACACCTGGGTAGGCACACCCAAGGGCACAGTAAGAGAAGGGGACACACACAAGGCACTTCCATGGAAGATTCTATCCTAAACAGGGCAAGGGGTTATATGACAAAGGAACAGGTGAGCGTAGCTTCACCCATGGGGCTGTAGCAAGACACACCCATGCATGAGACACCGACCCTCGCACTCAAGAAGGGTGGGGAAAGCTCTGCCACATTTCTGTGACTGAGTGCCTCAGCACCCAGCCGGGAGTGTGACTCAGTCATGTGCAAGGTTGGACTCCCACAGAGGAGGTTTCTCCTCGATCCTGCCTACCCTGGCCACCACGTCTCCTTTTGTAATGTTTCCACAAGAAGAAGAGCCTTCAGAAAGCGGGTCCTGCCTGTGCAGTGGGTGGACCGGGATGTGTGTCCACCGGACCTCTTCCCCTCCCCCCTTGCCAGTGTTCCACTGCAGGGTCACTTCCTGTGCGTGAAGCTGGACACTCACCTGACATCCACAGCAGCTCCTGCTGCCCCACTTGTACAGTTTAGGGAGCCAGGTTCGAGAAGTAAAGTTCCTCGGGGTGCTGCTCCGGGTGGTGAGGCCAGTGAGAAGCAGGCTTCAGTCCTGGGACCAGACCTGTGACTCCAGGCACCAACATCAGGTCACATGCCCTGGGGCTCTCAGGGGAGGGCTGTCATGGGCTTTCCTGCCCGGCAGAGGACAGGAACACAGGCCTCCCGCTTCAGCATCAGCCCTGGGTACAGCTGTGTCCTCCCAGCTGGGCTTCCATGGGGTGACCTGTCCTGTAGGGTCGTTCTTTCCCTGAGACTCTGAGAAGAAAAATCACCTTGTTTTATGCTTTGGTTGTGTCGTTTGCTAATGAAGATTTCCTTAAAAAATGTTTTAGTCGTAGTTGGACACAATACCTTTATTTTATTTACCTCTCTATTTTTCTGTGGTGCTGAGGATCGAGCCCAGTGCCTCACACATGCCAGGCAAGTGCTCCACCACTGAGCCACAATCCCAGCCCCTGCTAATGAGATTTTTTTTTTTTTTAATTTTTTTATGTTAAAGACTTTGAGTTCTGAGAATTTTTTGATCCCCTGCTCTGAGGTGATTTTTCTTAATCAATATATGAGTTAAGTTTACTTATTCTTGAAATCATGTCATTACTAATGAATCAAGATGGAAATAATTGACAAGAAACTAACCAGATAATCTTGGAAAAGTATTGGTTTCAGGGTGAAAGCTAAGAGGTCTGGCATGTCACCATCTGTGGTGCTGCGTCATGTACGTGATGCATTCCTTTCTCTTTTCTCTTCTACACAGAACAGCTCTGAGGGGTGGAGCAGGGTTTGCTGTTATTTAGGGCTGAGCTGACTGAAGATGGTCTCTCTGGGCTGTGAGTGCAGACAGAGCTAATGAGCAGCTCACCGCGGCCTGCATCCTGCCTGGGCGCGCCACAGGCCTCGGTGCCAGAGCAGCCCTGCCCAGGGTGGAGGAGCACCAGCGCACCCCAGGGCCTTCTCCTGGCATGTGCCGTGTTCTCCCTTCTTTCCTGTGCGTGTCGGTTCCCAGCCTAGAGTGCAGGCAGCCCTAGTGGAGGGGATCTGTGTGGTGTGCAGGTGTTTGAGCTGTCCTCCCCCTGGACAGTGGCCACTAGGCCAGCTGGGTGAGCCACCCTGGTGGGGACTTCAGGAAGGCCACATGTGTGTCAAAGCTGTCTTGAGGAAGGGGCGCCTGGGCCCTTTGACACCCTGCTGACTTTTCTTTCCAGCTATGGCGTGCTGCTATGGGAGCTGCTCACGGGAGAGGTGCCCTACCGTGGCATCGACGGTCTTGCTGTGGCCTATGGGGTGGCTGTCAACAAGCTCACTCTGCCCATCCCGTCCACCTGTCCTGAGCCGTTTGCCAAACTCATGAAAGGTATTTATTTGTGCAACCATTGCTTTCATGTGTCGGGGGCAAGGAGAGGTGCTCGTGAGGACATCCGCATGGATAACCATAAAAGCAGTGTCTGGTGATTCCAGTTCCCAGTTGCTTAGGGGAGAAGCCTCGTCTTGGATAGGAACCCTCATGTGACCCGCTGGTGACCCGTGTAGCTGAACACCATGTGTTTTTTAACAGAGCCTCCTTTCTGCACAGAGCTCAGCCAAGTGGAATGAAAGTTTCCCTGTACAGCGCAGAACTCAAGCGGCCCTGAGCTGGGCCACATCTGCCATTTGTCATACCTAACGATCAGAAGTGTTTTACAGTCTTACCTGGCCTGGTTGTACCTGACCTTGTCTATCTGATCCTTATCTCTTGAAACTCGTTTATTCTTGGTGAGCCGTGCTAGCCCCATGGTCAGGCTGTTTCCTAGAACTGCTGTTGTGAGGATGACACTCTGGAGACTGTGTTCCTGGGGTGGGTTTTATGGACATGCATTTCTGCACCAGGAAGTCTGTGACCCTGGCAGCTGAGGCCTCTACAACACCATTCACGGCAAGGCATGGGACACACGGGTCCAGGTGCTGACCGTATTGTGGTGCTGGCCACAGCAGCCTTCCTGGCAGGAACCTGGGTTGATACAGTGTGAACATTCTTGTCAGTGGGTCCTTAAACCTTCAGGGCAGACGTTGAAGACATGGGTTTCTGGTTCAGTGACAGATGTCAAGCTGAAAACCGGGTTGGTGTAAAATACATCTTAAAACCTCACTGTGGAAGTCCCCTGAAGTATGCCCAGGGAGAATCACATGGTTCCTGTTTATCTTAGAGTGCTGGGAGCAAGACCCTCACATCCGCCCGTCCTTCGCCTTGATTCTCCAGCAGCTGACCGCTCTAGAAGAGGCCGTGCTGACCGAAATGCCCCAGGATTCTTTTCATTCCATGCAGGATGACTGGAAACTGGAAATTCAGCACATGTTTGATGAGCTGAGAACCAAGGAAAAGGTGAGGTGGACTTTTTAATTGTAACATGCTTACACTCATAAAAATTATGGAAAATAAAAGCCAAAGTCACTAGTAGCGTTATTCTGCAGTATTTTCAGGATTTATGGATTCTTGCTTTCTTTTGGTTAAAAATAAAAGCAAAACTGTCCTTAAAATAGATAATTGGGGGAAAAGTCCTTTTGTTTGGAAAATTTTTAAATGTTAAAAAAAAAAAAAAAGAATAGCATAATAAACCTTTTGTGTGCATTAACCAGTTTAGTAATTGCCATCATTTCATCATTTGGTAAATCTCTCCCCACTATTATTATTATTATTACTACTTCTACTACTGTTATTTGGCATTACTGGAGACTGAACCCAGGGTGCTATACCACTAAACTACATCTCCAGGACTTTTTGTTTTTTGAGACAGGGTCTCACTAAGTTGCCCAGGCTGGTCTTGAACTTGTGATCCTCCTGACTCAGCTTCCTGAGTAGCTGAAATTACAGGCCTGCATCACCACACCTGATTCCCATTGTGTTTTTTAAACTGGAATATTTAAACCAAATCATGTTATTTTACCCATAAGCATTTTGGTGCATCTTTAGCTTTCTTGCCAAAACATCCACAGTAACCCTTCCATCTCATATACTTGCTCGGTGCTTGGAGGTCACAAAAATGTCTTCTTACAGTTGGCTCATGCACCTCAGACTCACAAGGTCTGCATGGTTTCATGGTTAGGGCTTCCAAAGCCTCTTTGATGCTGGTTCTTCCTGTTTCACCTCTCTGATTTCCGAGACCATTGCTTTGCTGGGGAAACGGGACCGTGCATAAGTTTGGGCTCCTAAGATGTTGCCATAGAGCTGTGCTTGGCTTAGGCTTTCATGGGGTGTGGGGTGGATAATCCCATATGCTAAGCACACTGAGGCTGCAGCTCTGTGACACGAGAGGGGACCCTGGGTCAGGAGCACAGTGGGAAGGTGGACTGGGAGATGAGTCGTGTGGTTTCCTGGATGAAGACAGATGCTATTGAGGGCCACGTAGGGACTCCAAATTCAGGCACGCCTCTCTGGTGCAGTGGTAATATTTATTTCTTAAAGACATTTTGTAGTGCCTGAGCATTTTGATGATCAGGGTTTCTTCCTGCCTGGAGTGCGTGACCTGCAGTACTGTTGAGCCCTCTGAATGTTTGTGCCCAAGATTCCTAACATGTCACATTGAAGTACAACATGGTAAGTTTCTGTGACCTCTATCAGGTTATACCCTTGTAGGAATCCCATACCTCATCAGACTGTCAGGTGGACAAGGGGGACGTACGTTCAGGAGGACTGAGGTCTGGTCTTCAGATGGATGACTTTGGGCTCTTGGGATGTTAGCCTGCCATGAAGGCTGTCAGCTCCCCTCTAGGGAGCTCAGGAGATGGCATGGGATCACCCAGGGGTCTCATGCCAGCACTGGTGGCCATCTTTAGTGGTGAGGACCAGGGCTCTGAGCCAGATGGCCTGGCCAAATGGGCTTGAACTCAGCATCACTCTCTGCTTCTGGGCACTGGAGTGTCATAGCAAGGCCATTGTCCCTAGGACTGGGGGAGGTCGGTCGAACTTTCCTTGCAGTACACCAGTCCACTTAGGAAGAGCTGGGTACTTGTTCACCTCGGGAGAGGACAGGCTGGCCTTAGCTGACCTGGGTGGTGCCCTGGCAGAAGGTGGGCACCTGCTGGGGAGGGATGTGGAGGCTACAGGTTGGCTGGCCCTTCGCCTTGCAGCTCTTGGCAGGGCTACTCTCAGCGGGGAGGTCACCATTACATTTAGGGTGAACTTCAGTGCTTTTAGTTGACTTAAAAATGATATTTTTCCCTTTTACGTTTCTCTAAATTATTTTCAGGAATACTAAAATTTGATGGTTCATCACAAAAATAAAAATGACTTTATGCAGGGGTAGAGGATTTTGAGGGAAAAATACTAAAAATACTAAAAATCACAGAATTAAAATTGTGAAGTGCTCTCATTAGCTATTCTGACCTTTTTCCTTTAGTCATTGATGAAGCAGGATGCAGGTGTGTTGGGCTTTTCTCCTGTCGGTGGGTTAAGAATAAGAGCTTGCTTCCAGAGCGCTTTCTGCCTCTTGAGGTTGAGAGTGGAGTCTTTCTTATTCTTCTGATTGCATTTTGGTGACCTCTATCAGGTTATACCCTTGTAGTAATCCCAGCATTAGCTGTTTTGGTGCTGATTTTTTCCTTCGCTTTGATTCTTACCCATTGCTCTTTGGAATCCAGCATTGATGGTATCTTGTGAGCCTTTGATTCATCATAAGAGAATCATCCCACCTTATGAATTTATGTTTTGCTTAAAGCTTCCTGATGGCATCTTTCTGACACAGTGAGGAGCACAGGGTCCAAGCTGGGTCTCCTCTGCTCACAAGGAGGCGTGGGCTCCTGGGCTGGGAGGCGTGGGCTGGAATGGATGGCCAGGCACTGGGCCGCCACGGTCTCATTGCTCAGTTACATACAGCTTCTCAAATGTGGGTCCCGAGTCCCCCAGCCTCTCTCCAAGTGCCTGCTTGGGTTCTGTGGGACAGGAGGTTGTCGTTAATGATTGAGCGGCCCGTCTGGGAACCCGGATCTGCCATTTCAAGGATGGCCTGCAGCCAACAACTGCCCCTTCTGGCACTCCTTCCAGCAGGAGTACTTGCTTGGTGTGCTTCATTACAAAATAGCCGGAGGGTTTAATGCCTAGACCTCTTTTTTTCTTTTACTTTAGAATTTTAAAATTCACAGAAATGGAGGTGGGCCACATGCAGTGGGACATGTTCCTCACCCTCAGGACTCTTTGACTGCTTTCTCTTTGATCATATATAAATATTTACCATGTTTTAGGCAAGTGTTTTTTTTTTTTTCTTTTTTCGGGTGAGGTATTACAAGGGGATGCATATTTTAGATTGAACCTGGAATTAAAAGTGGTTTCTTATTTAATTCATGTAGTAGTGACACAAAAGCCCGAGTGAATGTGCTGCCCATATCTCGTCCTTATGCCTCTCATTTGACAATAGTGAGCTGGATTGGCATCAACACTGCTGAAAACTAATATCTTTTTTAAAAGGTCATGTTGGGAATTAGAAGCTGTAAGCTGAATAGAAATTATCCTCTGTCCCCAAATACACTGTAGTAAAAGCTCCAATTTGGACAAACTAGTTGGAGAAAGTTACCAGTGAAAAAATGAATTACAGAACTTCTAAAAATACATAACATTTTTCTTTCTTTTCAAGTAATAAATAGCAGTCTGCACCTGACACACTGTAATGAGCTGTATAAGCAGGACCCAGCTGGTGCTTATCCACAGGCCGACCAGAAGGCTGGCTATCTGGGGTAAACCATTTCCTCTGCAGTTTTGTTTGTGCACTTTATTTTAAAAAATTTAAACTAAAGGATGCTTCAGAGTTTTCAGTTCTCTTTGGTGAAATTGCCATAAATTCAGAATTGGTTTGATCTGAATGAACACATTTGTTCTTGGAGCTCCTGGTCTCTTAATTTTTTGTGTGCTGAGGCTGGAACCCAGGGCCTCATCCTGCTAGGTAAGGGCTCCATCTCTGAGCTGCACCCCGGCTCTTCCAGGCTCTTCTGGATCTTGTCCTATTAGTTTGTGTGTGTGTGTGGTAGGGGCGGGGGGGGGGGGTGGCGGAGGTGGTGTTCTGTGTTTATTTTGCTTTGTGATAATTGTTCTGACAGACCTGGGTCCGTTTGTAAAGTCCAAGGGGCTGGCAGAGTTGAACTGGCCTCCTAGTCCCTGGCTGGCCCTGGGGACCAGCACCCTGGAGGTGGGCCACATGCAGTGGGACATGTTCCCCACCCTCAGGACTCCCAAAGCCTATCCTGGAGCTCTGCCTGAGCAGCCGTCTGCAGATCCAACCAAGGGTGGACTGAGGCTGCGCTAAGATTGAGTTCGTCTGAGCAGAGTACGGGAAAAGCTTGCAGATACCCTGTTTTCCGTGTAAGTGCTGGATTTAATAGCAGTATGTCTACCATAGAAAGGAGTTCACCCCTCAAAGGAATAGTTATGTCCCTGGTAAAGAAGAGAACACAACAGAAACAGGAATGGGGATATGGTTTAAACGTAATAGCATTCTCAGATTCCGTGTTGAATAATTTTTTTCCAAGAGGCATAAAATATTTTTTAACTCATAGATGTCCGATTTCTCAGAAATTCAGTAAATTCTAAAACCAAAACCAAGAGGAAGTTGACATTAGTCAGTAGGTAGGCATTGCTGAGGAACTTCTGTTGAGTAATTCACAGGAGCTGTCTGGGGCCAGGGAAGCTCCATGGGGGGGTGCCTGTGCAGAGGGTCGCAGTTTGGTGTGTTCCAACTGTCCCTTCTAGCACTGTCCCTTCCGGCAGGCTCTTTCTGCCTCCTCCCACACAGCTTGCTTCCTTTCTTCTCTCCATCTCATGTTTTATTCTCAAGCAGCTGTTAAATGCCCACAGGAAGGGCCTCTCTAAAGAAATCTGGACTGCAGGCTTTGGAATTAGAGTAATCATCCTTCCACTGATGGCTTCACTGCTGGGCTTCCTTTTGCAATGGGCCACTCAGGCCTGTGCTCGTTGCTGTGCTAACATACCTCGATGTGCTGGGTGGCTGCAGGCAAACGTGCAGCCCAGGTGTGAGAGCTCGTGATGCTCTCTCTGGATCACAGCTGAGAGGGCACAGAGATGCCCTCTCTGGGTCACAGAGCTAAGAGGGCACAGGGAGCGCAGAGGCCTGGATTTCCTCCAGGTCCGTGGTGGGCTGGCCGGCTCCGCACGCTGGCTGTCCTGACTCCCACGAGCTCCTGAGGACAGGGAGCTTCGCCCAGCGCGCCTGGGAATCCAGAGGCTGAGGTTTGCAGGAGGTGTTAGAGTCCTGAAGGTCCTCCTCCCTGCGGGGAGTGACTCCCTGGGTGTGACCCTTGCAGGAGCTGCGGTCCCGGGAGGAGGAGCTGGTTCGGGCTACTCTGCAGCAGAAGTCTCAGGAAGCTCTGCTCCGGCGCCGGGAGCAGCAGCTGGCAGCGCGTGAGATCGACGTGCTGGAGCGAGAGCTGAACCTCTTGATCTTCCAGCTGAACCAGGAGAAGCCACAGGTGAAGAGGAGGAAGGGCAAGTTCAGGAGGAGCCGCTTGAAGCTCAAAGATGGACATCTCATCAGTCTCCCCTCAGGTAGGACGTGTTCTCACGTTTCTGGAGGATCTCTGTGCCTCAAACCCTTAACTGGCTTTGTCTCCTCAGAACTGTGAAAGCTTGGGCAGGAAGGTTTTTTAAACAGTGAATACGTAAATATGCACAGTTGGTTGCTCATCCTGTTCTCATTCAGTGACCCGATGACCTTCAGGTGCAAAGCAGCATAGAGGAGTGTGTGGCCGTTCTTTCAGTCCTCAGCCTGCCTCCCAGTGTCGTGGTGGGTCGATCTAGTCCTTTTGAAATCAAAGCAGAGCCTGTGTCCTGCTGGTGGCACTGATGGCACCGGGTGGCACTGTAAAGTACGGAACAGTAGGATGTTGACATTTCATTCTAAAGGTTAAGGATGTCTCGAGGATCTGTGATCACATCTGGCGCCCGAGTTCACAGGGACACGTTTGCCGTCATCAGCACAGTCAACATAGCAAATCGAGTTCTTCAGTTATATTCCAACCTTCATCCAAGCGCATAAAAATAAACCAGTAAATCTAGGGAAGCCTTCAAAAGCATTTTTTTAAACATTGTGATAATAACATACAAGGATTGCTAAAACTTTGATATAGAATTATATTATCTATCCAGGTACATATGTGTTTGTGTTAAGATGCTCTTTGTGGATGCTGTGTCTTCCTAAGGTGTTTGTTAATGACATGGAAATTTCACTTAAATAACTGTGATGACAGTTGTATTTTACACAACGTGTGTATAAATTGTCTTATAAACTGCTTACAGACACTGGAAGGCTTGCAGGATAGAGTGACTTTTTAAGGTTTTTGAAGGTGCTGTTGGTTGATTAGAAATTGCTAATGTGTGGTGGTGATGAAGGTTATCTGTTACTGATGATTCGGTTTGACGAGGTGAGACTAGGCTGGGGGCCTTACACACTTCCCTCTCTGGTGAGGAAAACCAGTTGTGTTTTCAGGCTCTCTTCTGATGTTTGCCTCAGCTGGAGTGTGCCTGGAGCCCACTGACAGGACAGTCTCATATATAGGTATCGGCAGTAAGTTATAGATTCTTGTGTCTACAGTGAGGTTTCTGCTTTCCTGCATAGCAGATGGGAAGATTGAGAGGCACTAGACGGTAGCTTTCTTTTCCAGCTGCCTTCTGCACCCCTTTTCTGCCTGCACCCCTTTCCTGCCCATGTGGGAACCGAGCTGTGGTCATTGACATTCATGGTTTCTGTTGGGAACTCTGGGGGAGCAAGTAGCAAGAATTGGATTTCGGAAAGGCAAAAATCTTGGAAGAAAAGTTAAACCATCCCAGTGGTTCTCTGCTCTTCATGGGCAGGGAGAGTAAGTGAAATTCCTTAGGATCTCTAAGTCAGACTTGCACTCCTGCTTTTCCTCTCAATGCCCCTTGGCTGATACCTGGAACTTATTATTTCTACAGACTAAATATATCTATTTTTTTTTTGTTTTTATTCCTGGCTTGTATTATTGGATGTTTCTCTTCTAGTTACATATTTATTTACTTTGTGGCACTTAGTGAAAGTCTTTAGTTAAAACATAACCAAAGAATCCCCTGCTGTGCTACTTACTATCTGTCCATCAGGCAGGAATGAGATCAGCCTCTGGGATTTGGCATTGCAGTTACCTCCTGTGCCCACAAGGGGGCGTTGCACCTTGCAGTCCTGGTACTAGTGTGGAAACCCTTCCTCCTGGGTGCAGTACCAAGTGCAATACCCAGAGCAGGGCAGGCGTTCTTAGTGTAGAAGAACAGCAGTTATTCATGCCTTATATTCAGTTGTTCATACTTTACATTCAAGGGAGTTATACTTATCATCTAGTAGGCAGTTCTTTTCGGCACCCTGTCCAGGAAGACAGAGCTGGGAGGTGTGGCTTTCCATCCAGGGTGTTCCCTTACCACCATGAGCCCCTTTGCAGGTTCTCTATGTGGAACCAGCTCAGAGAACTTCGTAGAAGCTCCTACAAATCAGCCCTCAATATGTGTGCCTGTGGTTCTTTCAGACACCTGTTACTCAAGGCGAATAGTCGGGTTCACTTGTGATTTTATCTTTGAGAATCACTGATGATGATGTTTAATCTTATGACTATTTATAGCCATGATGACTTACAGTTAGAAAACTAATATTGTTTTATCCCTGCTAGGATCTCTTGGTGCCTGGCTCTGAAATAAGGAAGACTAGCAATTTAAAAAGCGACATAGCATAATCTGTGCCACTTAATTGTGAAACTTTGTGCTTTGTGATTATACTGAATGTTTTTCTCGGAACTTGAGGAAGGAAGAGGTAGGGTCACAAGATGTTTTGTGTTGTGATCACTTGAAATCACTCCCTCTCTACTGGCTTTATTTTGAACTTAGGTTGTGCTTTTAGGATGTGTAAGAAGCAAAGAGGAGAGGTTGTGAAGATTCCCAGGTTTGGTATTTCTCTAAAGCATTGTGTTCTAACTTCATCAGCTTCAGAAGGACTAAGTCCTGCAGGAACCGCTGCACACATGTGTACAAGAGCGTGCATGTGCACGGGGAGCAGGCGGGCTCCTCGGGATTCTGGAGGGTTACATGCCTTCATGTGAAAGTGATTGATCCCCTGGAGGCTGTTGGCTGAGTGCATAGCTGACCCACCTGCAGAGCCTTCCTCAGCACCCGCGCCGCGGTTCTGGCTGGGAGCAGATATCCAGAGGGAGAGCCTCATGGCAGCCAGGCACTAAGCAACAAGGTGGAATTCCTGAGCACAGAACTGGGACAGACTCGCCCTTTCCCTGCTTCAGAAGGTCAAGGGTACCCACGAGGCCCAGGTTCGGTAGGGGAGGCCACACTCTGAGTTCAGATTGTTGGGCCTGTTCTCCTGCCTCTAGTTGATCACAGTTGGCACCCTCACCCCAGCATAGTCTCATCCCTGCGTGTCCCATGTCCCCTGTGGTAGCCTATCCCCTCCTGTGGGAGAAGTGCCTCCTGGTGGGGTAGCATTTGCGAGTCCTGCTGGAGCACATGCATCCGGCATCTTCTGGACTTCTCCTTTGCTGTGTGGCAGGGTTGGGTAGTTGCAGGAGAATCTGAACCTAAAATATAGCATTTTAAAATGGGCACTGGGGGCTGTGACTGTGGCTCGGAGGTAGAGTGCTTATCTGGCATGCTTGAGGCCTTGGGGTCCAGCCCCAGCATCACAGAAGAGGCTAGAGGCCCACATTCCAGGTGCAGGTGTCTCTGAGTCAGCTACATTTTAATCTGTAACTTTGGAATCATGAGAAGCTTTTGAAGAATTTTAAGCAGGGGACTGCCACGGTCAGTCATGCATTTTAAAAAGTGCATCTAGCCGCTGTGAGCTGGACTCAGCCCAAGAGGGTGGGAAGAGGAGAGAAGGCACTGTGCAGCCCAGATGCAGCCTGAGTGCACACATGGTGGTCGTGGGGAGGGACAGCGAGCAGGTCATGAGCACCAGCACCTGCTGCCGTTAGGGCTGGTGGTGGGCACTCTTCACTTTTTCAGGCTCAATTTTCCATCACAGTCCTGTGAATTAGGAATAATGTTTTTTTTCCCAACAATTTTTATAAGTGAATGTAGTGAGACTTAAAGAAGTTACTTTCCCAGAATTCACCTGGCTAGTAAGGGGTAGAATTGGGACGCCAAGTTTGCTAACTCTAGAACCTGGATGTAAATTCTCTTCTGTAAGAATATGCAACAGAATTTATAATGTAATAATACGTAATAAATATAATAGAATTTTGTGCTTCATGGATGTGAAGGGTCAGGAAGAAGAAAGTATCAAAACAACCTGAGATTTTGAGTTTGAGTGATTGCATAGATGCCTTGCCTTCCGAATTCTAACCCCACTTCATCTCAAATAATAGGTCGTCTACTAAAGTTCTTTAAGGATCGTTTCCAAAAATGTGAATTATGCCCCTCTTGCAAATATGAAATGAACATGTCCCAAAGATTTTACTTTTTTATTTTTGTTGTTATTTTAGCAAAATAACAACAACAAAACACACAGATAAAGCTGGTTCAGTGGAATTCGAGCAGTGGGGTCTTCATGGGCAGTGCGAGGCAGGGTGTCAGGAGTGGATGGAGCAGAGCCCAGACCCCGCCAGAGCCCAGTGTAGCAGCAGGCCAGAACCTGGGGGGTGTCTTTTATGCTCTTAGGAACTGTTTGTGTCTTCACCAGACAAAACCTGCACATTCACGCCCACCTCTGCCCAGCCGTAAAAAACGGCCCTGTGAGCGGGAGATCAGATAAGCAAAGGTTCGTCTCAGCACCTCCCAGAAAGATGCCCGAGAGTTCCTTTCCCTGTGCCCCCAGGTTTTCTGGTTCTCCCCTTCAGCCTCCCTGCCCTCTGGCCATGTTGCTCTGTCATCAGAGTCCCTCAGTTGGGGCTTCGCTCTGCCCCATCCAGCCAGGCGAGGACAGCCTGGAGAGTGTTTGTAGAGTGCGCCTCTGTCTCACTCACCACAGGGTCCTGTGAAGTGCTTGGTGCCCTTCAGGGGGTGAGGGGACGGGCTCCGAGCAGTCCTCCCTGCTCTCCGTGCATGGTTTGCCAGTGATGGGCCTGGCCTCCTGCTTCACCTTTGTGTTTAACCGTCTTCAACTGCACGCAGGTGACACTTGCCAGTGGATCAAGAGCTGTGTAATGACCCAGGAGCATTTCCCTGCGTGTCATTGTACCTGACACAGAACCTGTCAGTCATTCTCTGGAACCCAAGTTGAGGACAGATAAACCAAAATGAGAGACAGACTCTGAAATAGCCTTGCTCAGTGCTTGCTTACAGCAGTGTGTGCTTTTATTGCTGTGCACAGAGGACGTGTGGATGAAAATAACGTAACATTGTGAAATCTTGGTTCTTTGATTTGTATCCAACAGATTTCCAGCACAAGATAACCGTGCAGGCCTCACCCAGCCTGGACAAGCGCAGGAGTCCGGACAGCAGGAGCCGCAGCCCGCCCAGCAGCCCTGCCATGCTGCCCCGGCTGCGGGCCATCCAGCGTGAGCGCCCCTCCCGTCGCTCCTCTCTTCACCCTGTCCTTTGCTTGCCTTGGATTCAGACCAAGCAGACGTGTTTTTACAGCAGGCCGCGGTCTGCTGTCGTGAACAGGTGCAGCAACTATCTGGAAAACACGCTAAGGCCTCAGGCTCCTAAGGCCAGTTTCCTTCTGCTCACGACCACAGGTGACCTGTGGATTCTGTGCAGTGTGACGTGGGCAGGCTCAAGTGGAAGGTGAAGCCCTTGCTCTTGAGACATTTTGTTCATGTCCACGTGCAAAATTAACACCAGCTTGTTAAGCCATACATTGCTAAGTTTTTGGATATTTCATAGTTGTAAACTGTCATGCCTTTGTTTTATTTGTTTATTTTATTATTATTATTTTATGCAGTGCCTCACACGTGCTAGGCAAGCATTCTGCCACTGAACTACAGCGTTAGCCTCTTTCGCTTGTTTTTTAAGGGAAATTTAGTCTACTTTAGGTTTGGCCAACCGAATGCTTCACAGTACTGCCCGGGTTGTGGTTTTAGAGACAGCGTTCCCTGGAGGAGCTCGGGTCTGCACGAGCTTCTTTGTGCGCTGAGAGTTGCGTTTAGACCCTGGGTCGCAGTTGGTGGAGTGGGATGAAGAAGAGCATTGATTCATTTTTTCCCGAAGGCAAGTCCTCACAGACCCCACGAGCAGACTTGGTGAGGACAGAGTGGGTGATGAGAGTGTCAGTGGGCTAAGGCCGTTACCACTCAGCTCATCCATTCACAGCTTCTCTCCTTTGTCCACTAAGCTCCGTCCTCTTGACTTATCTTCCTTATTTGGGGAGAAAAAAAGTCCATAAGAAAATTTCCAGCTCTGAACTCCATTTTTTTTTTCCTTTTTATTAATGAAAACCCTGGTAAGCGGCAGGGATTTTAATTTCTTGGTAAGCTCCTGGACTGTCTCCTCACAGTGCCATCGTTTTTCTGTAAATGGTCTGTTCTTCTGAGAAGGCTTCTTTTTTTTTTTTTTTTTTGATAAGGATCTTTCTTTAAAGCTGTGTTTTATACCTTGCCTGGGCCTGGGCAGTCAGGGCTTAACTGTAGGAAGGAGAAGGTCATTGGCCCTCCTCCTCTGCCCCCTGCCCTCGCCTCCTCCTCCACCCTTGGGAGCGCCCACTCTCGGACATGGGGAAGTGGCACTGGGTAGCCTGACAGCACCCAAAATTTGTCCTGGACGAAGGAGATACTTTAGGGATTTCAAACGACTTCCTTCCTGTGCAGTGGGCACAAGGCCAACTCAGAGTGGGCACCCCCAGTGCTCAGTCTTAGCGACGAGCCGTTCTGATCCCAGGATTCCTAGCAGGACCGACTCTAGTGGGGGACATGGGCCAAGGTCCTCCCAGCTCAGCATGGCCATCTTCGTCCAGCCTCGGCTGCTGCACAGCCGCTCTTGTTGTCTATGTCCCTGCCCCAGCCCGGCTCCCCAGAGGTCCTGTGTTCTCACAGTGTTTGGCATGGAGGGCAGTAGGGCGTGGGTGGACTTTGGCACAGACTCTCAGGGGCTGGACCCCAGGCTTGGCCCTGCCCCTGAGACGTGGATCGAGTTCCCTTGACTCCTCAGCCCTGCGATGCTGTTCTGTGAGCTGAGGGTGACGGTGGCCTGGGAATCCCTGGTGCGCAGAGGCTCCATGTGTGCCGAGCATTGCCCTCCCATCTTGCTTCCTGCTGCCCTGTCACCACCCCCGGGGCTCTTCCTGGCTTGCCCTGCTCCTCTGTCTGGAGTCTGCCTTTCCCAGCCTTGGCCTGTGTTCACTGTGGAAATCCGGCCTCTGGTAGGTGTTTGGGGTACGGATAGGCACACCCGGCCGAGGGGCCTGGGCTGCCTCTGCCTGCAGAGGGTCAACGATGTCCTCTGGCTCTGTTTCCCTGGACACGTGGGTGGACTTGAGTGAGAAACATTCGTTGTGCAAGAGCCACTAAGCACTTATTTTGCCAGCAGGAGTCTGAAGCAGAAGGAAAGGTGTTACAGTGGGAAGTAGCAGGGGCATGGGGTCAGATCACCACGCCAGCAAGAGAGAGCTCCGACCCAGACGCGTCTTAAGGGACACCCAGGGAAAGGGTCTCAGTGTAGGCTCGACATGGGCACAGAGGCAGTTTTCCGGCACGGTGCAGAGAATGGTCGCTGGCAAGCTGCACCAGTGATTGTGCAGAATGTCTCCTTCCTCACTGTCACCCCCGCTGGCTCCCCTGGTGACTGGCATTGCCATGTGAGACCATGTTAGGGCCTGCTTCACTTTGAGAATGAGAAACACTAAGATTCGCTCATTCTGGAGATTTCAGCTTTCAGGGTGCAGACTCAGGTCGAAGGCTCAAAGCCAGGACAGAATGCACCTGCCCCCTGTCGGACAGTCAGAGCTTCCTGACTGTGGTGCCTGCTGCCCTGTCCACCCTTGGCCTGTGTCCCGGTGACAGTATCAAGAGGGATGGTAAACTTTAAGCCTGAGTCTTTCCAAGGAGTGGCTGTAAGCTGGAGATGCCAGGAGCGCCCTTGACTCCCCGCCTCGCTCATCAACCTGCAGGATAAACAGAAACCTAGGTAGCTCTGCTGACTGAGGCAGAGATACCACACCCAAACCTCCAATAGCAGAGACCTGGGGGCCTGTCTGATGGCAGTAGCAACCTGTGTCCCCCGGCACCTGCTGTATTTAAGCTATATTCTAGGGGCTCCATGCTGAGTTAACCCACTTAATGCTTAGCCCAGTCCCTGGGTGGGTGCCGGTGCCATCCCCAGCTGAGGTGCAGGCAGGACCTGACCTAAGTAGGTAGTGTCGAAGCAAGCCTCTATTCAGACCACAGAGCTCAATAAAGGCTTATTTTTGGGGCACTGGGAATTGGACCCAGGGGCCCTTAGCCTCTGAGCCACATCTCCAGCCCTTTTTGTATGTTTCATTTACAGACAGGATCTTGCTAAGTTGCCTAGGGCCTCACCAAGTTGCTGAGGCTGGCGTTGAACTCAACAATCCTCTTGCCTCAGCCTCCCGAGCCCTAGCCACTGGGATTACACCATGCCCAGCTCAGAAAATGTTTAGACAGGGAAAAAACAGGAGTGCATCAAGAGAGGAAGGAGAGGGGGATGGGAGGAGGAGGAGGACAAGAAACCAAGGACTGTCAGGCTCTCTGCAGTTGTGTTGTTGAGATAAACTGGGGTCTGGCCTCCTGACTGCCGCAGCCAGTCCATCCTCCCCTGTTCTGTGAAGACTCCTCCTGAGAGCAGTGAGCGCCTGTTCCAGAGCGTTAGACAGGTGTGTGCGTGTGCATCAGCACATGTGTATGTGCACATGTTTTAAAATTTGGAAAAGAATGGAAACATAGAAGCCACAAATCGTCACACCCAATGCCTCTGGTTTTTAAATGCCCCCCCCCAGGAAGCGGCCCGGCCCTGTGCTGCGGGCAGCCTCCCCCAGAGGCGAGCCCCAGCAGGAGCTTGCTATCTTCACCCCCCACAGCGTGTACACGCGTGTGTGGTGTGTGATGCTGTGTGTGAGCGTGGGGTCGTGGCGTCCGTCCCTCTCTCCACGGCCCAGGACTTCCTGCAGGTGCCCTTCCTGCTCGGCTGCTGGACATGCCTGGTGTTTCAGGTCTGCTTTTCTCCCTGGGGCTGATCATTTCCCCAGTGGTTTCCAAATCCCCCGAAGGCAGGGGCCCAGGAGGAAGCAGATCAGCAAAGTAGGGGCACCAGCCTGCTCAGACCTGCGGGGCGAGAGTAAAGGCAGGACAGGGACCTTGAGTATTTCCAGATTATCCAGGGCACCTGTAGCCAACCCTATTGCTCCTGAAAAATCAGGTTAAGCTACAATTTTAAAGCATGTGTTTGTGTTTCAAGCTTAAAACTTAGATTTTTTTTTTCCCAACATTAGGGTACTGAGTTTATTTTAAGTTAAATGTTCAGTCTGGTTCCTGCTTCAGAAGTTAAAATGCACACCTCGCTGTCTCAGAACATCAGATGGATAAATCCAATCTCTGCTGTTAATTTCCATCAAATTTTCCATTAATTCTGCCCACTTGCCTTGCTGTTTTTCTGATTAGGAAAGTGGATTTCCATTGGTCTGGATAAGATGTATCTGCCCTTCCTTGTTTTCGCATTTTGAGTCAGGAGGTCTCGTGGCTGACGGGTTGTGCATGTGGCTTTAAGCCATCGTCGCTAATGATGATGCTCTTTGTTTAGTGACTTCGGAGGAGAGCAATAAAACGTGGGGGAGGAACGCAGCCTTTCAGCAAGGAGAATTTGGAGATATTGGAAGGAATTTCAAGAGAAAGGGTTGTACGTGGGGACCAAACTCAGTTCAAATGCAAGAAAGAGCCGATATCAGAGAGAGGTAGGTGTGTGGGGGTTCGGGGTATGCTCTGAGGGCTGCGGCCGGGCCAGCCCAGGCTGTTGGCTAGACTCGGATTCCAGAAAGCAGCCAGCATGAGAGCCGCTGGCTTTATTAAGTGAAGACTCAGTTCACTGGCTAAAAGTTCCTGACATGTTTCTGTCTTGTCTTAAGGTCCGTGTACTTAGTTAGCTTTTGTTCAAAGCTCAAGGGTGAAATGCACTTCCTCTGCACCTTTGAAGCTTTGGCTGAAGCGTAGGTACCCAAACCTGGTGTGTCCTACGGTCCTGTTACGTGACACACAGTCTGTCTCTTGCAGGATCAGGCCTCTCTCGGATGGAAACAGCCCTTGGTCGTTTCACTTAATAAAAAGTCAGAAATCCACGCCATTGGCTTCGTTATTTGTGGACCAGCCAGGTAATGGTATTGCTGGGAGTGGTTAGCTTGGGTTTCGACCCCATGGGGGGCTTTTCCTACCCAGTCCTTATGGCGAAGTCAGTAGGCTCCAGTTGGAATTTGGGGAATTTATAATTCCTAATCTTTACCGGAAAATTCGCTGACACGCTTTATACTACATAGACCCAATTTATTTAGGATAGGAGGTAGCAAAATGAACACATCGATCTGACAGTTCTGTTGAGAGGAAGAGCTGACACGAGGCTGAAGACACGGGAATCATTGAAAAGCCTCAAGGGCACTAGTTAGCAGAGAAGAGTTTGGCCTCCGCACTTGACAGCGTCAGGAGGCTCAAGGTTCTGAGTGTGATGGAGACATGAACAGTGTTTCTCTGGTGTCTTCTGGGTGATTTGTGGGCTCGATTTCCCATGCCCGTTTCTCTTCCTGGAGGGTTCTGCATCCAGGCGGGGCGAGGGAAGCTGTGCTGGAGGCAGGGCCTCCAGTGGAGGAGAGGAGGACACCCGCGTCCTGGGTCGTCCAGCTTATAAAGCACACTGCAGGTGCCGGAGGAGGAGGTGCTGGAGAAGCTAGAGGCTGTGTCACGGAGGCTTCAGGAGCCCGATGGCAGGGTTTTCCATTGGATCAGCCACTGGTGAGCACATGTGTGGTGGGAGTACTAGCCTCCTCTGCAGCTAGTGTAAGTTCTAGGGATCTCTAGGCTCCCCGGCCTTTGGGGGTGTCATCCCCTACTGCTGTGGCCCCAAGCTTTAACTTGGGCCTGTCTCAGCACAGACTGCTGGTTCCACCCCCAGGGCTCTGCTTCACTGGTCTGGGATGGGCCAGGAATTTGCCTGTCCTCAATTCCTAGGGGCTGCTGGGGTCCAGGGGACACATTGAGAACCACTGGCCTCTATGTGACGCTCTTCTTTATTATTATTATTATTATTATTATTATTTTTTTATTTGTAGATACACCTGACCGTAGGATATATTTTGACATATTATGCACACATAGAATAGGTGTAACTTGTTCCAAGTATGGTCCTGTTGTTGTGGTTGTGTATGTTGTGGGGTTATATTGGTTGTGTGTTCATACATAAGGAGACCAAAGATGTGCGATCCATGTTCTCTTTTCTGTTCCCATCCCCTCTCCCTTCCCATCATTCCCTTTGTCTAGTCCAATGAACTTCTCATCTTCCCCTCCCTTGTTGTGAGTTGGCATCCACATATCAGAGAACAGTCTGCCTTTGGTGTGGGGGCCTAGCTTATTTCACTAAGCATGATAGTCTCCGGTACTATCTGTTTACGGGCTGATGCCATAATTTCATTCTTTATGGCTGAATAATATTCCAGTGTGTATGAGTGTCACATTTTCTTTATCCATTCATCTGTTGTAGAGCACCTAGGTTGGTTCCATGGCTTGGCTCTTGTGAACTGAGCTGCTGTGAATATTGAAACATCTGTGCGTGCAATGGTCTCGCCCACAAGACGTATTGTAGATGCGGGTCTTCGTGTTTATACGGGGCATGAGGAAGCAGGAGTATTCTGCGTGTGCACGTGTGTGCGTTTTGTAGCTCCAAGACTTTCTTTCCAGGAGGTGTCTGTCACGATGCTGGGGAGGGAGGCTTTCTAGAGGGTAGGGAACAGCAGGGGCTGTCCTTCTGGCCCATCTCTGGGGAGCTGAGCTGCAGGACCTGGAGTCTGTCCTTAGAGTGCTAGATGGGTCCCGGCCCTCCGGAAGGACTCTGTGTGCCTTGGGTTAGGATGTTTACCGGGAGGTTTGAGCTCTGCTTTACGTCACAGTTTCACTGATCTCTGCTGCAAGACGGTGCCACATTGTCAGTGTTTGTGCTTTTGTTTAGGGTCCTGTGAGGAGCCAGCCCCTTCCCCTGGCGGGTCCGAACGCAGAAGACCAAAGCCAGTGAAGGTGCCCGGACAGGCCTGCGTTGACCTGCCTCTTTGGAAAGATGGTCAGAAAGAGAAGCTGGCGGAGGCTGAGAGCCAAGAGGAGGGGCCCCCGGCCAGCCCTGCCACGGGCTCCTCTCGGGTGATGCCTGTGGCCAGCCTGCAGGGACCACCCCAGAGAAGGAAAACAGACACGGCCTTGTACAGGTGCACGGCGTTGCTGGCCTCGGTGGCTTTGGGGCTGGATGTCAGGGACCTTGGCAGAGCGCAGGCTGCTGAAGAACCGCTGCCCAGGGAGGAGAAGAAGAAGCGAGAGGGGCCCCTGCAGTGGGCCACCAGGTCCCGCACGAGTGCCAGCCCACCCCCGAGGCTGCCGAGCCCCTCCGCCTCGCTGCCAGGCGCTCCCGGCCCTCCCTCCACACCCTCTCTGGCCACCAGGTGCTGGCTGCAGACAGACGGCCGCGAGCCACCCGAGGGCAGCATGCGTGTCCCTGGGGACCCCGAGGTGCCTGCTCCGGATTTCTGTCCCTCCACTCTGGGCTGCAGCTGTGAGCCCAGCCCTGTGCCAGGGACTGAGGCTGGTCACACTGGGCTGCATGGCGCTCCTCCTCTCTGGGAGCAGGCACGTGGGGACGCGCCTCGTTCCCCAGAAGACAGAGCACGGCAGAGCGGACGACCTGCATCTGGGGAGAGAGCTTCTCCGACCCCAAGTAGGTTGCCTTAGTTGGGGGCCAGCGCAAAGCTCCATGGAGAGGTGGCTCTGTCTGCTGTGCTTTTCCCCTGGAGATTGCGTTCAGTAATTGACTGCTTTTACGTGGACCTCTGCATTTGTCCTTCTCTTTCATTTGATTTACTCTAACGAGAGTTTGGGTTCTGGGGAGATGTCCTTAAATTCAGTGACCGAGGGCACAACGTAGGCAGGGAAGGCGAGCCGCTGGCGTTAGTGCAGATGACAGCCGGGGACACAGCGGGACCAGAGCTGGTGGCAGCTGCTGCGTCCTGCGTCGGGGCTGCCCTGCTCTGTTCCTGCTGCGGGGAGGGCGGCGGGCACCTCCATGTGCCAGGGCTGGGTGACGAGGCGCAGGCCGCAAGCACACCCAGGAGGTCGTGTGCCCGCAGTGGCTGGGTTGGTCCTGCATAGCTGCCTCCTGCTGCATCCGTTGACTTCGCCCAGTGCTCCCATGCGGCTGCCACCACCCAGGAGTCCTTGTCCTACCTTCTTCCCCCCCCCCCCCCCAGGACACTAATCACATGGGATGGGGCCCACCCTGGTGGCCTTGTTGTGACTTCATCATCTCTGTAGAGACCCTGTCCACCCTCAGAGTCGGGGATGCAGTGTGTGGATTTTAGGGGACGTTCTGCCGTGTAGCAGGGCACCCAGTGGCACACAGTGCACCACAGGCCGCCGTGAGGCCTGCGCCCAGGTGTGGATGCTGCCGAAGGAAAGTTGATTTCCACAGGTTTTCCTGGTCCACTGAACAAGGTACAGAGGTGTCTCTGACATCGCAGTGGCACTTGCAGATGACAAAGCCTCTGACCCAAGTGGCTTCACCTTGAGGGGACTCTGTGGACATGGGGTCATCACAGAGGCAGGGGTCAGAATTCGTGGGAAAGCAGTGGTGCCTGGGACCCTGTAGCCACCAGGGATCCAGCCCTGGGTCCCCTGCTGCACTATGCCTGCCCCCCTGTCCTGTCCGCCTGTGAAACTTGACTAGTGCTCACATGATCAGATGGTGTGGGTTTGAGCAGAGGGGCGGTCCCCTCTGAGACCCCTGGGGGTGGTCCTCTCTGGTACTGACCTTTGAAGACACTGGTTACTTGGGAAGAGCAGGTAACTTAGAGGCACAGGACTGAGGCTCAAGGTTCAGTTAAGCGTCTGCATGTGGCAGCTGTGATCCTAGGAAAACCATGGCCCACGTCCTCGTTTGGAAGCCTTCAACACCCCGTAGTGTCAGTTAGTGCGGAAACTGGGCTCAAGCTTGCTGTGTGACAGTGGGCAAGTCACCTGACCATCCTGGGTCTGCTTCCCTTCAGTCAAATGGGATTGATTATTGTTCATTGGCATCTATGAGCTCCTACTGAGCCATGAATTGGTCTGCAAGTCAGTGGGTGCTGGTCTTAATGGATGCACAAGTCAGGATCCCAGCACAGTGACCCTATGAGAAGCCATCCTTGGTCTTGCTGGAAGCCAGTCACCTGGTGCTTCAGTACCAACAAGAGAAGAGGGACCTGACCACCTTCCTACTCTTGTCAGTTTTTCCAAATCCCAACCTAAAACTGAAGTTTAACGATGTCACCCATTGTTTCTGAACGTCCCACATTTATTCCAGTTTCCTGCATTTTGAAATCCACCCTGTTCAGAAACGCTGTGGCAGTGGCCGCTGGCTAGAGCACCTCATGGTTCCTCTGCTCCTTTACATGCAGGATTTCCATGCGTTGGTGCTCTTCCTAATTTTGGGGTACTTTCTCCCCAAAAGGAATTGCATCCTGACGTGTGGAGCGTGATCGTGGAGGGTCTGCACGGAGGGTCTGTGTGCTGCTGTCTGCTCTTGGTTGTGCTGAAGCTCCTTGCGGGGGGTGTTCAGGTGAATGGTCATGATTTCTTTGAGCGTGGCTGTCTATGTCTTTCTAATCGCCTGTGTCTTGGCTCTCCTCACTGGCAGGTGCTCCTGGGGCCTCTGAACTGCCACCTCCGGCCTCCCCTGGCCCTGCTTGCGACTCACAAAGCGAGGTCCCTCCTGAGCAGCAGCCAGCTGTCATGGTCATGCCTTGGCCGCCCCCTGCTTCCTCAAGAAGCCCATCCAATGTGCCACAGGCTGTCCCACCGAGGGCAGGGTCCCTTCCTGCGTGGGTGGTTGATGGTGGCCACACAGGACCAGGCCCCACCTGCCTTCTTGGTGCCCAGGACAAAACTAGGTTCCAGGCACCGTCCTTGCTGGACGCCGATGTGGAAGGGCCAACCAGGGAGGGCATAGTGCCCCTGTGCGGTTTGCAGAGTGCGGCTCGCCCATCGGCCATCTGTGCCCTGGAGAGGAAGTTTCTGACCTAGTGCCACTGCTGTTCTGGCATTTGCCCCCAAGACCTCGCCTGCACCTTTAGTGTGTATCCAGCTGCTGTCCTCGAAGCTGTGGCCTGGAGACTCTGTGACAGAATCACAGCTGGAACGTGCTGGTGCTCGAGTGAGGCTAGCCTGTGGACGTCCTCTGAGGCGGCCTCTGCCCTCTTCAGCAGCTGTGGATGGGTGTCCAGGAGCAGCAACCTTTTCGTTCTCCAGTGGAGTGTTGAAAACACCAGTCACACGTGCCCACTGTGCTCACAGACATCACCTGTTACAAACATTCATGTCACCGGGCTTCACGTTTCTTGGTTAGCCCAGGGTCATCCCAGCCCAAGCACCCTAACCCCTGCCAACGCAGGAGGGATGGTGGTGCTGGAATGTGAGCCCTGTGTCCTCACTCCACCTGGTGCTTACACGGATGATCTTATAGTCATAAAATCAACCACCGGGTTACAGGGTCAGGAATGGCTCAGCAGGAGCTCATGGATTTGCCTAAGTTTCTCATCCCTTCTGTCCCTGGATTGTGTCATGTAGAAGACAGACAGTAGATATTAAAGTCTTTTCATACAATGAAAAACTAAATTATAGACATTGCTTGGTATTTTATTTTTATTTATTTATTTTTTAAATATCTTCATTTTTATTTATTTATTCATTTTTTTTTATGTGGTGCTGGGGATCGAACCCAGGGCCTCACGCGTTCAAGGCAAGTGCTCTACCACTGAGCTACAGCCCCAGCCCCTGGTATTTCGTTTTAAATTGTGCTTCAGTCAAGGGACAACCTTTCAGGGGCTCATCCGCCCCAGGGTAGGGCCAGTGGAGGAAGCTGGGAGCTCCATTCAAAGCCACTCTGCAGGAAAATTTGAAGCCATTATTTCTTCAAATATTTTTCCCAGCTACGTTTTCTCTCTCACGTTTAGGCCCAGCATTTCTCGGGAACTGTCTTCCTGTTCATTCATTCATTCTTTTCCCATAATCTTTATTGATCTTTCTTCAAATACCCTTTCTTTCCCCTGGAGACAGGTCTCACTACATTGCCCAGACTGGCTTTGAATTCCTGGGCACACAAGCCGTCCATCCAGGTCTCTGAAGCTTCTTTAGTTCAAATTTACTGTCCAGCCCTGTGGTCAGATGTTCATTTTGACTAGTCTGTTTTCCACTCCATGACTTCATTTTCCATAATGTTTACCTCTCTGTTGATGTTCGTTATTTGATGAGGTGGCAACATCTGCCTCCCTTTGCCTCTTTAAAAACATTTCCCTTTCATTCACTGAACACATTTACAATAGCAGTCTCAAAGGCTTTGTGAAGCCTGAAACTTGGGTCCTTTCTTAGGCCATTTCTGTTTCTCTGGTGCATGGGTCATGTTTCCCTGTTTCTTTGTGTTTCGTGCTTTTGGACTCTGGATATTTAAGGTGCTGTGTTGCAGCAGCTGTGCACACTGGTGTCCCTCACCGCCCCCTCCAGGTCCCATTTTGCTGTATCTGCTTGTTTGTTGGGCTATCTGCTAGTCTGCCGTGGTGGAGCCTGTTTCCTCCATGGTGTGAGGCCTTTGTGTCACCGTCCCTCAGCAGGCTCTGACTTGGCCATGCACACTAGGTCTGGGATGACATGGTGCAATGTGGTTCTTCTTTCCTGGTCTTGCTATGTTGCCCAGGTTGGCCTTGAGCTCTGTGCTCAAGTGATCCTCCTGCCTCAACCTGGATAGTCAGCTGAGACCACAGGTGCATACCATCACATCTGGCTCCTTGCTTCTTAGTTCACATTTACCCTCAAGTCTCTCCAATCAAGTTCATCTGTTAATCATGTGCTTCCTTGGCCTCACACCCCTGGTCAGCCTCTAGTAGTTGCTGGGTAATTGTCCTGTTATTTTCTTTATGTCCTGGGGCACAAGGTGCTCACAGCCTGTTCCAGTTCATTTCAGGCAGATGTAGTTTGGGGGCCAGGATTTCAGGAGGACCCTGCTGAGCTGTCCCTGCTGATACTACCTGATAAGCCCACAGGCCTGGTTTAGGTCGTTGCTTTCAATGTAGAGGAGCCCTGGTCTTGAGAGTGCTCATAGGCAACATCACGAGCCCTGGGTGTCCTAAGGGCCGTTCCATAACCACTTGTAGAATGATTAGTGAATTCTTCTTATTTCACAGATGAAGAAACTCCATCTCAGGGAGGTCAGATAAAGTGCTGGATTTGAATCCAGCCTGCTTCTAACCCTCTAATCTGTTTAAATCCTTTTTCTTTTTGATTTTTTTTTCTTAGTTATAGTTGGACACATACCTTTGTTTTATTTATTTTTATGTGGTGCTGAGGATCGAACCCAGAGCTAGGCGAGCACTCTACTGCTGAGCCACAACCCCATCCCCATTTAATTCATTTTAAAGCACAGGGAAAAAGTTTGCTAGATATTAGTTGGTTTTCAATAAATGCTATTGCTAATGTGCTCATTAAAGAGCAGTTAAGAAAATAGTGTAGACTACAACTGGGATGTGGAGGACTTTGGGAGTGCCAGCCTAAGCTTTGGCACTGTATTTTGCATTAAAAAGGAGCAATTACAGGTTTTAATTTGGAGTACCTATTACATTCTCCAGCAAACATAACAAAATGAGATACATGTTTATAGAGGAGAATAGATATGTTATAGAGAATAGAATGTCTATAGATACATGTCTAGGAAACTGGCTCAGGCGACTGTGGAAGTGCCAGGTGTGAGGTTGGCAGGGCAGGCAGTTGGGCTGCAGACCCAGGGAGGAACGGATGTCACAGCTCCAGTCCAAAGGCCTTGTGGTCTGGTGCACACCTGTAATCCCAGCAGCTCAGGAGGCTGAGGCAGGAGGATCATGAGTTCAAAGCCAGCATCCACAACTTAGCAAGGCCCTGTCTCAATGAAATAGAAAAGGGCTGGGGATATAGCTCAGTGGTTAAGTGCCCCTGGGTTCAATCTCTGATACAAGGGGGGGAGGGGAAAAGGATCATGTGGAGGCCTTGAAGTCTAAGGTCAAGGTGTCAGCAGGGTTGGTTCCTCTCGAGGCCTCTTTTCAGCTTGCAAATTCTCCCTGTGTCCCTACCTGAGCCCTCTGTGTGTCTGTGTCCAAATGTCCTCACCTTTCCAGGACATCAGCATGCCAAATGAAAGTCTGCTGTGGCCTTTTGTTAGCTTGCTCACCTCTGTAAAGAGCCCTCTCTAGCCACTCCTCTGCATCTGCTGTAGTCATCCCTCAGCATCTGCTGTGGGGGCACAAGAGGGCTGTGCTCAACTTGGCAGGGATTGTAGAGCAGATCAGACAGGGAGGAGGATGGTCCCTGAGGACGGGATACCACCAGCTGTCACAGCAGGAAGGTAGGGAAGGGTCCTCTACAAGAGGACATCACAGAGGGAAAGAGCAGGGCTCGGTTGGGAGACCTGGGAGACCGTGGCCACACAACGGGTACGAGGGAGAGCCAGGACCTGGCTTTGGAAGGCTCTTTGGGGTTCTGAAGGATGACAAATTCCAGAGACACCCATAGGATCTCTGAGAAAAAGTAACAAGAGCCGGAAGGTGGGTGTGCAAAGGGGGAGGGACAAGTGGCCCAGGGGAAGACCCAGGGAGCGGAAGTCAGGGACAATCACACAGCACTCTCAACCCCAGGTGAGCACCTCTGAGTGGCCATTCTCAAAGCCATGGGCTCTCCTTGCCTCTAACCAGACATGGGAAGGGAATCCGACGTTCATACGTTTTACTAACAGCCATGGCCATGTTGAGTGGAACCTGCCTACAGAACCCAGGCGGGCGACATCAACCCAGAACCATGACTCAGGCCACGTCACCGCATCTCCCCCCTGTGCTTTCCTACAGTGTGAGGAGAGCACAGGGCACCCACCATGTTTGAAGCCACCCATTCCTAAAACCAGAGAGTAGGAATGATGTGTTTGATGCTGTCCCCCTGGCCATGCTGACTGGTCTGCAGGGCCCGGCAGCCGTCTGACCTCTTGCTGCTCCTGCAGATGGCCAGGAAACCCCTGCCAGTAGTGCAGGGTCCTTCTCCTCCTGGTTTGGACCCAGCCCAGCAGGATTGGCTTGAGCAGGGCACGGCTGTAGGTAGAGCCAAAGCCCAGGCTCTTGACAAGGACCCCCAGGCACAACCCTCATACCACAGAGATGGTGGACACTTCCTCTTGGACACTTCCCTGCCTGAGTCTGTATGGAAATGTATTACTTATTTGAAAAAGAGATTCTAGGATAGCCCAAAATGACCTGGTGACCCCTGGCTGTGTCAGAACTGAGGGATAGTTAAAGGGATCTGTCCTGTTGCTTAACAGGTGTTAAACTTTTAGTACGCCACGCCCTCTTCTCTAAACAGGCATTCATAGGTGCGATGGTTCCAGCCCTGGAGGTGGGAGTAACCCACCCTCATCTTCCCCCCAGCTCTGGGCTCTGCCTGCTCCAGAACTGGAGGTTTCCGTTGGGTTTCCACGTACTGGCCACCAGATGGCGCCATGTGCACGTCATTTCACACGCAAAGAGGCCCCAGAAAGATTGTAAAATCTGGCAAATTTCACACCTTGGAAGAAAAGGCATAACGGTAGATGTGATTTGGGAAGAGGAGGGGAAACAGAAAATGTTTTTTCTATAATGGTCACATAGCAACAAGGAGATCTTAATACATAGATCTGTTCCAAACAGACAAGGAAAACACAACCCCCAACACACAGTGCACTTAAACACAACCTGTGAACTTACACCTACAACACACACATGCTTAAGTTCATAACATACATGTTAACCCACATCACACCCAGAACAGAAAACAGCACACACCACACCAGGGCTGGAAAGTGAGGGTGCAACCTACAGGGATGACATTGAGGGGTCCTCACCAGTGACGTGCCCAGGCCTCCAGTCATCAGTGCTGACTTACAGGAAGTACAGAGAGGAATCAAAGCAGCATTTGAGATTTACCAAGATAACAGAAGAGTGACAGAATTGAAGGGTTACATTTATATTCAACATGCTTTATATTAATCAGTCTCCATTGAACCACTGGGGCAGGCCAGGTCCTCTATGGTGGAGGAGGAGGCAGGAGGACTCAACCCACTCCTCAACTCCGCCCCTTCCCCACCTTCCCTCCTTCCCTCCTAAAATCACTTAGTGGCTGCCTGTTGTGACCAGGGCCTGCCTGACCCATGCTGGACCAGGGCTCTGCTGTTCAGCTCCATCCCCAGTCCTTTTTAATTGATTTTGACACTGGGTCACAGTAAGTAACTCAGAGTGGCCTCCAAGTGGGGCTCCTAGTTGCCTCAGCCTCCAGAGTAGCTGGCAGGACAGGTGTGCACCACCTTACCTGGCTGCATATATGTGCTCTGTGTGTGTGTGTGTGTGTTACTCTGCGTGTGTGTACGTGAGTTTGTCACTGTGTGTGTGCTTGTCACTCTGTACGTGTGTGTGTGAGTTTGTCACTCTGTGTGTGTGTTTGTGCATGCTTGTCACTCTGTACATGTGTGTGAGTTTGTCACTATGAGTTTGTGTGTGTTGTTCTGAGTGTGTGTATGTACGCGGTGCTGGGGAACACGCCAGGGCCTTGTGTGCACCACATAAGCTCTGTTCTGA